AGGCCCCTTTGGAGCTTGACCCTTGACCCTGACTCCTGCTTTGGGATCTGCTGCCCCTGAACGTTCCCCCCAGTGTCAGTCCCTGGATGCAGCATCAGGTCCAGGGAGGGATTTGACCCCCAGGGACACTGGGAGCAAGACATCCCTCCGTCCTCACCAGACTCCAATGAGGGGAGCCGTTTGGTGGGGTCTAGGGGTTGAGGGACCTATCTGAGGTCACACAGCTGGGAAGTGGCCCTGTTCAGATCGACCTTCCAGTCCAGCAGACTCCAGACCTCGTGCTCATTCCCCGCCCTTGAGAAAGGAAGGAGAGAAGGGGTAGGGAGAAGGCGATCCTCCGGGGACCTTGGCGACCTCCCCCAGCCTCCTCTAGCTGGCCACCTCCAGCCCTGCCTGCTGAGAGGCCTGACACTTGGTGATGTTAGCACAGCGCTGTCCGCAGCGAGCAGGTGCGGGCACCGCCAACAATGGAGCAATTTGCCGTAATGACGGGGAGGCCTGCAGCGGGCGCCAGAGCCACTTCCCGCCCGCCAGGGCCAGGGGCCTGCTGAGCTGCAGCCAGGCAGGGAGAGTGGTGCCAACTGGATTCGGAGGGCCAGGCGGAGGCCACCCAGCAACGGCCCTCCATCCACCCTGAGCATGGCCTCTGAGACCTACTGGGACAGGAAGGGGCAGGTCTGGCATCCTGCCGGGAAGCCTGGGTTCTAGTCCAAGCCTTAATGCTGGGTGGGGTGGGGCAGTCCCTGTGCCCCAGGCCTCAGTTTCCCCTCCAGACACACTTTCTGCCTGACAGCTGGGACTTCAGGTTCCACAGCCCACCCCCTGCTCCTCCCTTTTCTTCCCCCCAGTTCCTGCCCCAGCTTGACTGAGTGGGGTCTTATGCCTGGCACAGTGGCGGGACCCCAGTGCCACTCCATGGGTGCTTTCTGTTAAGATCGGCAGAGCTGAGGTCTGGGTCTGAGGCCCACACAGTGCTTCCTGGATGTTCCACTCTGCTCTTGCCCAGGGGGTGCCCCCGCCAGCAACTGCACACAGTGGTGTCCCTCCAGAGGGCACAGTCCACGGGAGTCGGGGAGCTGCTTACACCTGCCGCACTGTGGTGCCCAGAACACAGTAAGTGCTCAGGGACAGTGCACAGGGGCCAAAAGAGCATCAGCCTCAGAGTCACACCCTGCGTTCAGTCCTGGCTGCACCCCCAGCTGCCAAGTGTGGCATGGGCGGGGGTGTCGCCAGCCTCCCAGCCCTCAGTTCTCACATCTGTAGTATGAAGAGCATCCACACCTCCCAAGGTGGCTTCAAGGGCATAGAGTTCCCCACCTCGACCTGGCACCCAGGGGAGTGCCAGTAAATGTTGGTGGAAAGGCTCTTCACACCCCCAGGCCCGGCTGTAAGCACCGGGTGAGCTGGGGCAGAGACAGTGCCAGGCAGCCGCATTTCCTCCATGGCAAGGCTCCGGAGGCCTTGCCTGGGGCCCCAGTTCTCCCTTGTTGTGGCCCTGGCTCCCCAGTAACTGGGCCGTTCCTGCAGGACAGAAGTGGGGTTGCCTGCTGGGCACCCTGAGAGCTCAGGGCTTCATCCCAAGCTGGGAAGGACCCTCACCAGCATGTGCCCAGAACCTGCCCCAGGGCACCCCGTAACTGGCACGGCAGGTGAGCTGGCCGGCCACACAGCTGGTGGCAGCCTCTGAGGGCCTGGGCTGGGGGAGACCCTGCTGGCCTGAGCCCCTATTCCCTGCAGGCTGACTGGGGCCTGAATGTGGCCCTGCCTCCTGCAACAGAAGGGCCGAGGGTGTGGTCCTGAAGGCGGCCAGGCCGCCCACATGCACCAGGGCAGCCCCGTGCCCCCACACGCCCTGTTCCTCAGGGCCTCCAGGCTGGCTGCTGTTGGTCCAGCTCACAGAAGCTGGATTCCCTGTGCAGCCCAGTCCCACCACTGTGCCTGGCACACAGTGGGCACTCAGTAGACAGCAGTGGCCTGGGGGGGCAGACCCCCCGGGCAGCAGCTCCAGCCCAGGCCCACAGGCTCCGTCTCCCTCCCAGACGCTCACTCAACGAGAGAGGCCCCCTTGTGTGTTTGTTTGCTGCAGAACTCGGGTCCAATAGACTCGGTGTCTTTCTTCTGTCTTCCTCCATCACGCACAGGAGCTCCAGGGAGCAGCAGTTTCCAGAGACTGAAGGCAAAATTGCCTGAAAGCCTGTGCTCTTATCCTCCAATTTGCAGCCATTTAGCATGGCCAGGCAAGGGCGGTCGGGGCTCTGCTGGGCTGTCGGCGCAGAAGCGCCCATCACTGCAGAGAATGGTTCTTTGTCCTTTCCCAGACAGCTCTGGGGGGACCAATGCCCGCTGCGGAGCCAGGTGGCATGGTGCAGGGCCCACAGGGGAGGACAACGGCTGGCCTCAGGGCCACCCAGAGGGGTGCCCCACTCTGAAGCTGACATCTATCCTCACGGCTCCAGCTCTGCTTGGAACAGTGCCCGGCCCCAGGGGCAGAGGTGCACACAGGCTGGGACAAGGATTAGGAAGGCAGGCCCAGGTGTCCCCAGTCTCGTCCACCCTCCCTCTGGTCACTAAGATGGGTCTCGTGTGGCTTCTGCCCAGGAAGAGGAGCCTGCCTCACAGGGGTCCCTTGGGTGTCTGGGAGGCAGAGTCAGAAGTTAGGGAGAGGGAAAGAAAGCTGGGGGGGAGGGGGCGGGGGTGGAGCTTCAGATTCTGGGGAAGTTTGGAAAACAACAGTGCAGGTCTAGCTTTGGGGCATGAGAAAAAGGCCGGAGGCCCCGGGTTTTGCCATTAGCCTCTCCTCTGCAGTACTGAGAGCTGGCGTGGCCAGGACTGGTGCTTTGAGGGGGAGACGCAGGTCTCCCTGCCCTGGTGGACCCCACACCCCCAGCACTGGCTGTGAGGGTAGCTGGGAAATGGTTCACCCTGCGGTGGGAAGGAGCAGTGTGAGCAGAAGCGTGACCAGCAAGGCTGCACTGTCCGAAGTAGGGTGAGCTCTGGGAAGACAGGCCCTGGAGGCTGGAGCTGGGGGAGGGGAGGGGAGGCCGGGGGAGGGCACCTGGCGGGGAGGCCGGGGAGGGCACCTGGCTCACCGAGTTTGCATCTCACCTAGGTGAGGCTTGAGTGGTTTCCTTTTTTTTTTTTTTTTTTTTAAAGACGGGGTTTCACCATGTTGGTCAGGCTGGTCTTGAACTTCCGACCTCAGGTGATCTGCCCGCCTTGGCCTCCAAAGTGCTTGGATTACAGGCGTGAGCCACCGCGCCCGGCCGAGTGGTTTCAGAGTGGCCTCTGAGCACCTGGGTAAAGCTGGCGTCTGCCTCCCTCTCCTGGGGCCCATGGGGCAGGCGCAGCTGCCTTTGGGATTGAGGGCTCACGAGCCACAGCGGAAGGTGCCACCTTCCCTCTCTCTGCCTTCCTCCCAGTGTCCTCATCCTGCACCCTCAGTGCCACCTCCAGGCTTTTGCCCAGGACAGCTCCTCCCCCAAAGATGCCTTTTCTCCAGGGCTCATCCATCCTAGCAGTCCCTCCAGCTCAGTTCCAGCCACACGCCCAGTCCCTCCCGCCGGCCACTGCAGTCCCTCTGCCACGCAGCCCCTGCACATGCTGTGCGTGGCAGGGTCCTCCCTGTCCTGGGGGCAGAAGGGCTGCAGAGGCAGGGACTATGTGTCTGTGTTCTCAGCACCAGAGCGGGTCCCCCGAGCAGGGCATGGGCCGCGTCTCCTCAGCCGCCAGCCAGCTCCTGAGAAGTGCAGGGTCCAGTGGGAGGGCACTAGTGGGGCATGAAACCCTTCTTGGGATGAAACCCTGGTGTGGCAGGCTGGCCTTCATCCCCACTGCAGTCCCCCCACTTAAAACACAGAGACCTCAGCCTCACACCCATCTCTTGTCTCCCTGGGGTCTCCCCTCAAAGCAGGAAGGCTCTGACCACCCCGCAAAGTCCTCAGGAATCAGCACCAATAAAAAAATACACTTTATTGTGACCTCACGGTTTGCAGGGCAGTGCAGTGGGCACAGGCAGAGAGCATGCAGAGCGCATGGCACAGGCGCAGGGGATGTGGCGGAGCAGCCCCTGCCCAGGCACCTCCTCTGGACACCCCTTCACACCTTGGGACCCTCGGGCCCGACTGGGCCCCGTCCTCCCACAACCCCCAGAGGTCCTGGCTAGCAGATGGAGTGGCCGGGGCAGGCTTGGCCGCCAGGGCCAGTGTGAGCCCAAAGGCGGGGTGGGCAGAAGCAGCTGGCACAGCTCAGCCGGAAGCCTTAGTGGAGGGAGGAGGGCGTGGGAGCCCACACCTGCCAATCCAGCCCTGAGCTCCTCAGCAATTTTGTCTCTCTTGATTAAACATCCCAGGAACATCAAGTTCACAGACATGTTTTCTTCATCTTTCTGAAAACACCCAGAATGGAAAAGCAGAGAACAGCTTCGAGGTTCCTCGGGCCCCTTGACACTTTTGGGGGCAGAGAGAGTTGGTGGAAAGGAGGTGAAAGGGCCAGGACCGAGGCTTATGCAAGAGACAGACAGCAGCAAAGGCAGTGTCCTGGCTTGTATGGGGAGAGGGATGGTGTGCAGGTGTGTGCGGGAGTGTGCAAGGGTGTGCAGGGGTGTGCAAAAGTGTGCGGGGGTGTGCAGAAGTGTGCACGTGCAGAGGCAAACTGCTAGAGCAGGAGGCCTGGAGCACACCCAGGTGCTTGCTTTGGGAAGAAGACCAACCAGTAACTGAAGGGCAGACACCACCAGGCATTGCACTGTCGGTGGGGGGTGGGCAGCATGTCTGGGACCCTCCAGACTGTCCCTCCCGGTGGAGCCAGAACGTTGGGGGCAGGGCCGACCACCCAGCCTCCAGTCGGGCCAGTGAGGGGCCCTCTGGCCAGCCCAGGAAGGTGCCTCCATGGCAGGGCAGGTGGCCTAAGAGAGGCTGCCGTGGCATTAAGAGAGGGCCACAGACACGGCGGGGCTCACCCCTGGGGTAACGAGCTGGGTTGGGGGCAGCAGGGTCAGCTGCCCAGGAGATTTGGCTAAGAGAGAGGCTCTGGGCCTGCTCACTTCCAGCACTGCTCCAGGGAACTGTGGGGCTGGATTTTGAGCCTCTGGGGGCAGAGCAGCTTGGTGAAGGCCCTCCGGAAGCTGTGGTGGCACAGTGGGTACAGGACAGGGTTGACAGCTGAGTTGACCCACAGGAGCCAGAAGGAGGTTTCGTACCAGTAGTCAGGGACGCAGTGGCCGTGGCAGGCAGCCCGGATGATCATCAGCAGTGTGTACGGGGCCCAGCAGAGCCCGAAGATGCTCACGATGACAGCCAGTGACTTGGCCACCTTCCTGTCCCGAGACAGCCGGAAGCGCTGGGTGAAGCTCTGGGATACCATCTTCATGCGCTTCTCCAGGGAGGCCGAGGATGCCGATGGCTTGGAGCCCCTCTTGAGTGAGCGCGGCCTCTCGGTGCCCCTCGAGGAGCCGGAGCTGGAGGTGGGTGAGGCCGCAGAGCCGCCCCCACCGCCACCCCCGAGGGCCGCGTCCCCCGCCTCAGCACCTGTGGCAGCCTCACCCACCCCATACCTGTGCAGCGGCATGGCCTCCCCGTGCCCCTTCCGCCAGCAGCCCCAGCAGCCAGGGGGCGGCCTGCGTGGCGAGGGCTGGGCCTCGGGTGGGGGCTCGGGGCCGGCTGCCTCTCGGGCCCCATCCAGCCTGAGGCGGGTGCGTCTCTGGATGTTCAGGTAGATGCTGAGATTAAAGAAGGTGACACTGAGGAAGGGAGTGAAGAACTCCAGCGTGGAGGCCGTGATGAGGAAGTACCAGTTGTAGAAGAACTCTGCGTAGCAGTGGCCCTCAGGGATGGAGCTGCCTCCGGACAGGTACTCCCAGCTCAGGATGGCCGGCCCGTACAGCAGGAAGGCCAGCACCCACACGAGCAGCATCTTCCGCACGGCCCGCCTCGTGTCGCCCTGCTGGGCCCGGTATGAGACCTGCAGATGGGCAGGCTGGTCAGGGGCAGGGCAGAAGGAATATCGGACTGGGTATGCCCGGCAGCCTGTGGGCCCTGTGTGGGCTCTTCCCTCAGCAGCAATGCTCCTCCCTTCCCCTCCGGTCCTCCCTCCTTCCCTCCCTCTTTCCCATCCCTCCCCCTTCCCCTCCCCCGTGGTGTCCTGGGCTGGCTGATGCCCTGCCACACTCAGTGAGAGCCTCAGAAGTTTCCTGAGACCAACCCGAATCCTCACTCTGCTAGGCTGCCTGCTTACCATCCCCTACCAGCTGTGAGCTCCCTGGGGGTCCTGTCCTTGGCCCCTGCACCCTGGGACCAGACTTAGCATGGGCCCCAGACCACCTGCACACACAGCTGTTTCTGACATGATGCATCCTGCAAAGGCCCGAGCCATCTCCAGAGGTTGGAGGTGGGAGGTCCAGCCCCACCCCTGCTCAAGTGCTCGAAGCCCTGGAAGCTGGAGGTGCAGGAGTGAAGCCATGAGCTGGCCCACTGCTGGGAGACATCCCCCCAACTGCAGAACAAAACATCCCAGATCGACAACTCGGCCTCTGGAGAACAGGGAGAGAAGGCAGGGCCCTCCCCAAGGCAGAGAGCAACCAGCTGGTGGGGTAGGGGCAGAAGGGCCAAGGGTCCCACTGAGGGGTCTCAGGTGGGACAGCTGGAGGAGGAGGACCTGAGAGCCTTGCCGCCCTGCCCCGCCAGCCTGATGGCATTTACCTTGATCACAGCTATCGCTAATGAGAGCTGGGCAGAGCATCCCCACGCCAGGCTCTGGGCTAGGCTGCTTTCCCCTTTGAGGCAGCTCTCCTTGTGCCCCATGCCTAGGGGCTCCAGGAAAGGAAGGAGAGACCACATGGTGATGGGCTCAAGAGGACCCCAAACCCAGGCTCTCTGCACCCTGTCTCTTGGCCTGTCTAGGCTAGAACGAAACAGCCTGCCCTCAGTACTGCAGAGGACCTGATGAAGCCCTGGGGAGGTGAGCTGCCAAGGAGAAGATGAGAACTTTAGCAGCGGCTCCCTGGGCTGCACGGCAGGGTCCCTGACTCAGGGGGCCCCTCCCACGAAGGGAAACGTGGAGCCAGGATCTGCCACCTGTCTTCCTGGGGCCTGTGTGTTATCCACGCTTGCACTCACACATGTGAGGAATGTTGCCCGGGGCCTGTGCGTGTATGTACACTTACACTCATGCATGTGTGAGGGATGTCGCCTGGGGCCCCTTTGCATGCCTGCACTCACACATGTGAGGGATGTCACCTGCCTTGCCAGTGCCTGTGTGTGTATGCACACTTGTACTCTCACATGTGTGAGGGATGTCACCCAGAGTGTCCCGCCCTAGATCCCCCCTTAACTCAGAACAGCTGTGTCCAGATTCCCTGCCTCCTGCCTGAGCCAGGACAGTCTGGCTGGCAGCCATGGCCCCGAGTGGGCAGCTGGCCATTGAGTGGCCCCTGTGTCAGCAGCAAGGCCAGTGGGACCAAACCCACTTCTGCTCAGAACTCAGAAGTGGCCGTCCCCATCCCAGTGCCTCCCATGGGCATCCAGACCGTCCCTGCAGGAGTGAGCAGGGGCTCTGCAGCCCAGGACTCACGGCTCGGGTGACTGACAGGAAGCGGTCGTAGCTGATGAGCACGATGTTGAAGGCAGAGGAGGTGCACAGCAGGTAGTCCACCACCAGCCACAGCTTGCAGAGGCCCCGGCCAAAGGTCCATCGGCCCGTCAGCACATAGGGCACATACAGCGGGATGCAGAAGGCGCCTGTGGGGAGAAGGGCCACAGTGGGACCATGCCACCAGGAGCCAGGGGACAGACCAACCTCATCGCAGACACTGGCGGGACCTGGGGTCACATAGTGGCTGCCTTTCTGGGACCAGCCACCCTCATCTTACCGCCCCCTCCAGCTGGTCTCAGCCACACACTCTGCCCTGCCACCAGCCTTCACCCCTACATAGCTCCCAGCACCACTGGTGTCCCCTGGACCTGGGGGCAGGAGGGAAGATCCAGGCATAGGGACCTCTGGCCACCACAAGACTGGGAGAGCCTGGAGTCGGGACTCCCTGGACTTCTGTCCCGCCCTCCCAGCCCTCAAAGGAGGAAAGAAGATAACTTCCCTCTCCCCTTCCTCGAGGGACTCCAGCCCCAACCCTCCCTCTCAGCTTAGACAACGAGAAAGCCTTTCTCCTGGCTGACAGGGCACTTGGTTGCAGCCGCCAGCCGCTACTACTGCCAAGCCCGGCTTGGAGCGTCTGGGAGACGCACCTCACAGCCCCAACAGGTGTCTGACGCTCCAGCCCCCTCCGCGTGCCCCGCCCCCCAGCCGGCAGCAGAGTCTGGACACGTGAGAGCGCGCTCCTCCGAGCGTCTCCCCCACCCCCACCTTCCGCACGGTCCCCTCCCCCAGCACAACTCTAAAAATCCCCCTTCCATGTCCCCTCCCCCAGACCTTCTCTAACCCGTCCCCCTGCGCCCTCCGCGCGTCCTAAGTCCGCAGCAGCCTTTGTTTGGCTACGGCGCAGGGGCCAGCGCTGCACCCGCTGCCTTTGCGCCTCTGAGCCCGTGTCCCTTCCCGGCGACACCCCTCCCCAGCCCCTGTCCTGCGGCCTGAGTGGCAAGGAACTTCGCCCGTGCCCCCCACCCCATGAGCTCCGGACGCCCCCGGCCCACGCCGGGCCGCCTGGTGGGGCGTGTGCCCGCGGGAGCCACCCGGGTCCGCGCTCCAGTCCCCGCCGGCTGGCCACGCTGGGTCCCACGGCTGCAGGGGACTGGGGATTTACCCACGAGGAAGTCGGAGATGGCGAGGTTGAGCAGGAAGAAGTTGTTCTGGGTGCGGAGGCTCGAGTCGGCCACGAAGGCGAGCATGACCAGCGCGTTGCCCAGCACCGTGGCCACGATGAGCAGCGCCATGAGCGCGGCCAGCACCGCGGTCCAGGCTGCCGAGAAGCCGCGCGCCCCGCCCGCCGCCGCCGCCGCCTCGCCCGCCAGCGCCCCCGAAGCGTTCAGCTGCCCGTCGGGCGGCGCGCGCTCCATGGCCCCGCAGGCTCACGCGGCTCCGGGACGTGGGGCAGGGCGCCGGCCGAGAGCTGGGCGGCCGGAAGGGGCCCCGGCCGAGGAGCCTCGTCTTTGTGGGCCCTTGGCCGGGTCGGGGTCCCCGGGGGGCGCCCAGCGCATGGTCCGCGGGGCCAGGGCCTGGGCCAGGGCGGGTGGTGCCGGGGGGCCGGGGATGGATCCAAGCCCGGCGGGGCCGGCGGCGCGGCTACTGCAGCCGGAGAGGAAGCGGAGCCGGAGCCTGAGCCGCTGCCGGCGCGACCGTGCACCCCGAGCGCAACGCGCAGCCGAGTGCGCCCCGCGCCCTGCCCACCGCCCCCCGCGCCCCGCGCAGGGCCCCCGCCATTGGCTGCCGCCCTCGCCCCGCCCCCTCCCCCGCCCCGCCCGGCGCCGGCAGCACCACGGACAGCGCCGCGTGCCCGCCGGGCAGGCTGGAACCCAGCCCCTGCGCTCACACTGCGCTCACCGCAGCTGGCTGGGCGCCCGGCCGGGGCTTGGCCGGGTCTGGGGGCTCGCCTGTGGTCAGTCAGCTCGCGCACTCGGAGCCGGGGTCTGGGTTGCTCGGCCTTTCCCGTGCCCTCGGCCCTGGTGACCCCTGCCGGGTCATCATGGGGAGCCCTGGCGCCGGTGGGGACGTGGGGTGGGGGTGGGGGAAACGCCTGCACCCGCTCTCCGGGGAACTTGCCCTGTGGGGCCCTTCCTCGGTTCAGGTTTTTAGAATGTAGGTCTCCGGGGAAGGAACGTCTGGAGAAGAAGGGTTGGGGGGGGCTTGGAAAGCCGGTGCCCAGACCAGGGGTCCGCTCCACCTCCCGTTTGCACGGACCCTGAGTGCCAGCCTCCCTGTGGACAGGACCCAGTGCAGGGTCCGGGGTGACCTGCAAGGTGCAGGCAGATGTGGAGTTACATAAGGGAAGATGAGGCGCCGGGCGGACCCAGCCGGAGGGGAGGGCATCAGGCCTCGGCTCCGGCGGCCTCAGGCTGAGGAGGGAGCAGGAAGCCCCTTGGAGCCCAGCCACGGACCCCGGTGGACAGAGGGGCAGTCGCCGCTGTAGCGGACAGACGAGGTCACTGCGCTCAGGTCGCAGGTGGTGGCTGTGTTAGCGCCTGTGGGAGGGGACGGGGGAGGAGAGGATCGGTGGCGGGAGGAAGCACCCCCACCACCAGACACATGCGCCCAGATACACGGGGTCAAGGACAGATTCCGCCTGAAACACTCAGGGCAGACAGACATGCCCACACTTAGATACACAGACACCCACAGGCCAGGGAAGCAGCCGCCAGGCTGAGCACCCACCAACAGGAGACACACATCAGACAGCAGACAGGGAGGGAGCCGCGCCTCAGGAGAGGGAACGCAGCCACTCCGCTCTGTCGCCAGCCGCAGGCATCCATGGTGCCTCAAAGAGGGCAGAATGCGAGTGCCTGGTGGGGGGCTGCAGAGGAGACCTGGGCGCTGACACCCACCATCACTCCCTGTGTATAGCAGCTTCCCCATCCTGTGGGGACCCACCCCTTTCCCTGGCTCCCAGTGTCACTTCAGAAACTTTGAGGAGAGTGGGGTGGGGATTCCTCTGCTGCCTCCCCAGGGCTGACTGCAGGGAGGAACCCCCAGACCCATGGCCCCAGCCAACCCACTATTCCTTGGCTTCCAGGCGCCTGCTCTCGGGGGAGGGGCTCGGCTTCCCTCTCTGACTACCTGGTTGTACTCATCCCACTCCACCTGCAAACCCGCCTCTTCGTACAGGCTCCCCAAGGTTCCCTGCACCCCACCCCAACTCACCCAGTGAGGAGGGGCTGTGCCTGGACCAGGGAAACATTTTCAAGCGGAAAAGTTTCATGAAGTCAGGCAGCAAGGGGCTGTGGGGCCGCAGAGCTGCCACCCAGGCCTGCTGCAGCCCTTGACTCACTGTCCCCACCCAAGCCAGCAACTCCCTGTTGAATGGACCCCTCCCCAGGCCCTGCTCAAGTGCCCAAGTGCCCGCTGAGGCCAAGGGAGATGGCATTGGGTGGGGTTAAGAGGGGGCCCTGGCTCTCTCCTTCACTGGCTGGAGCCTCAGTGTCCCCATCTTGGAATGGGGAATATAAATTGGAACCCCAAGCAGAACCAAGGATGAAGGGGTCTGCAGGCCCACCTGAACATTCTCCCTCCCCATCCCTCCTCCCCTGTCATCCACAGCTGCCCAGGCTTCCCCATGCACTGACCAGCCCTGGAGAGCCTGGGCAGTGCCAGCCTGGGCCAGATGACCCAGGCAGAGGGAGCTTTCCTGGTACTCTTTCTGCCCCACAGCCACAGAGGGGATACCTCAGCCTACTCCTGGCCCACAGCTGTTATGAAACCCCAGCGGAGCCTGCACCACGATCCAGGGGCCCACGGAATCTGAACCCACAAGTGTGGAATCCCACACAGCGTGGCATCGGCCGGGGGACCCACTTCTGCAGCTGTCACCATGGCGGTGACAGATATCCATCACACGCCTGTGGGTCACCTCAGGATTCCCTCGCAGGAAGTCAGAAGAAGGCCCAGAGGTTCGGCCCCTGGCAGTGGGGACCCAGCTGTGTGACCCCAAGTGAGTTACCAAACTTCTCTGAGCTGCTGTGGATGGAGGCTGCATGGAGGGGAGAGGGCCTGGCTTGGCCTGGAGAGCTGGTAATGGCTGTGGCTGGCGGCTGTGAACGCCCCCTATCGGCCAGACTCGGTGGGAGGGCTTGGTACCTGACCTCACCAGCGCCCCCTACACCATAAAGTTGGGCTGGACTCGCCGCCCTGCAGCACTGGTGAGCCCCCTGCCCGAGGTCACGCAGGCCCACCCTCTCCATGGGCACGTGCGTGTCCCAGCCTGAGGCTAGCAAGCACACCAGCATGACCAGCAGCCATGTGAGAGGCCTGCGTCCTTGCCCAAACAGAAGGCTGTTGTCCTCTGGGCTGGGGCCTGACGTGGCCAAGGCCATTCAGGGTGCCTGTGGCTGGACCCTGTGTAGTCCGTCTAGCCCTGGGGCCTCTGTCCCAGGGAGCAGCCACTCCAGTTGTGTAGAAAAGGAAACTGGCCAGGGGAGGCCATCCCTGCATCAGAGGCAGAAGCCAGTGTCCTGGCAGAGCCCGGGAGGAAAAGGGCTGGAGATGGAGACAGGACTCTGGGCTGGAGCCAGGCAAGCAGACGTGACCGCGGGCCTCACTGGATGGTTTCCGATCACAAGGAAACACCCGCCGGAGGCCATCCACGGGCAAACACCCATCGTAAGCCAGCCGCCCTGAAGACAGAACATTAGCAAGGCCTATCATCGGCCAGCCTTGAACTGGGGCATAGCATGAATGCAGTGGCCACACCAGAGGCTGCCCGTGGGTCAAAGGGCACCGATCCCCACCTCCCAAAGCCCACCTGCTGCTGCTACCCCTGAGTGTCTGGCTGCCAGCAAGTGTTCACCACCCGGCCCCAAGAGGGAGGGGGACATTCCCAGAGGAGAGCAAACAGCCACCGGCTGGCAAGCTGGCTCCGTGAGATCCCCTTCCCTAGTCCTCACGGGCCACAGACCTGCTCGGGTGTAGGTCGGCCTCTCTCACCTGCTGAGCCTCCACCGTGGTCCAGGGGCCTGTGGACTCCAGCTCCACAGGCAGGGACTCCTACACAGTGTGGCATCTAACCAGGGGACCTCTTCCCATGAAGGCGGAGCCAACGTGGCCTCCTGGCCACGGGCTCACTGGGTCTAGCATGCCATACCACCCAGGAGTAGCCTCTGGAGGCACACCAGCCTTGGGCACTCACCCACGAGGCTGGCGCTGCCCTGAAGGACACGGACGACAGAGCAGAGACCTTTCAGTGGCACCACATCTCCAGCAAGAAGACCACAGGCCTTCTGGGCCAGGGAAGGAGCAGGAGGGGCCCCGCCTAGCACCCACGGGGGAATCTGAACTCAGCTCTGCAGGGCCTGAGCTTCTCATCTCTGAGGGACACCTGCTTACCGGGGACAGCTTCGGATGGCTCCCAGGCACTTTGAGCTCCTGAGCTCCGGCAGACAGACAAGGAGCCACCTTTCTATGGGGGTAAGTGGCCCTGATCAGCAGGAGGAGCCGGGGCTGCTGTTTCCGGGAGAGGAGGGGTGGGAGGGGGTGAGTGAGACTCAGGGCCCTCTGGGAGTCATGGCACTGCCTGGCCGGATCATTTCTGTGCATGGACAAGCACGGCCACCCCAGCCTGAGATGGTCCAGTGGCCACGGCTCAGGGAAGGAGCGTGAGGCCCCAGGACCTGCAGTGGTGACAGCCAAGGTGGGAGAGTGCAGGAGGAAGGGGACGCATGTCAGGCAGGGCCCCAGCTCAGCTGCCCCTGCTCCCTGGCCCTCAATCCTTCACAGGTCTCACCCCAACACAACCACCCCACGGGAAGTCTTGGCATCTGCTTCCTGAGGACCCACGTTGACCCAGCCCAGGTTCCAATTTTGAAAGGGTGGTCTGGGAATTTCCACTGAGGAGACACAGGAGCAAAGGGAGGGAGAGAGGGAGGTGGATGTTGGAGGGAGCAGAGTTCCAGGAAGGGGAACAGCAGAAGTGAAGGCCAAGGGGTGGGGCACCTCTGTGTTGCAGGCGCAATTCGGAGGCCTGTGAGGCTGGAGCTCGGGTGGGGTCACGGGGGGCGCATCGGAGGGGCAGGTCTTGTAGCCCCTGGAGCTGCTGCAAGGATGCTGATGCTTTCTCTGACAGGTTCTCCAGGAGGCCTGGGGACGCTTTCACAGGATCCCCTGACTGCACTGGAGGGTGGTCTCTAGGTGGATGACGACAGAGAGCCCAGAGGGGCCGCGCTGCGAGACTCCAGGTGGGAGGCACTGGTGACTGGGGGACAGGCAGAACGGGCAGATTCTGACACGAGCTGGCACGTGAGGGGTGAGAGCGCAGAGGAGGGGAAGGACCCAGCCCAACTCCACAATTTGGGCTCAAATGCCTCGAAGGAGGTGCTGAGAATGAACCCGAGGGAGCAGCTTTGGGGATGAAGAGGTGCCCTGTTTGAGGGCTTCGAGGCT